TAGCAGACAAGACAAAACTATAAAGAACATACAAAATTTGAACAACACAATCAACAAGTGATCTGATACATTATTTCCAAATTGCAGCAATCTGCTAATGGACTATAAATCAAACTTATAACAACATTCAAAAGTAAAACGGAATAGAATTGAAAATATCAGAATGTATCGCATATGGAAAAGATAAGCATTATTTTGTGAAACCTTTATATTTGTATACAGAGTGCTGCTATAAAGTGTACTTGCTGTGGGTTAAAGTTTGAAAATCTTCAATTTAATGAATTTAAATTAAAGTCTGTACCCCCAAATTAGAGCATACATATTATTCTAAAGCACTCAAGAAATACTTACAAAATCTGGCCATTTACTAGGCACGAAAAAAGTCTCAACAAAACCCAGAAAATCAGTATCTCATCCTGAATGGTGATAAAAGATGTCCCACAAGAGCTATCTGACTGCTAGTTGGTTCCCTGAGGCTCCATTCAACAGTCCAGGGGGTAGGTGAGTGAAATGAGTGAAGGAGGTCAAAAGGTACAAAATTCCAGATAGAAAACAAATTAGTTATGAGGATGTAATGTACAGCATGGTGACTATAGTAAATAATACTGTAGTATTGTATGTTTGGTTGTTGTTAAGAGAATAGATCTTAAAAGCTCTCATCACAAGAAAAACAAATATTTTATAACAACGTATGGTGTTAGATATTAACAGACTTACTATGGTGATTATTTTGCAATATATGCAAATAGCAAATCATTATGTTGTACACCTGAAACTAATATAATGTTTAATGTCAATTTTACCTCAATAAGAAAAAAACAAACCATTAATCCTAGTTTCCTAGAGGGATCTAGAACATGTCTCTGTCCCATGCAAATGCTGACTAACTTGGCTAGTTATTATTTGTGTCAAGCATATAATAAGTACTCAAAAATTTTTTATTACAAAGATTACCGACTAGAAGCATTTGGGCAATCTTTCAGAAGTTGAAACTAAGCTACGATTAACCATTTTCAACCTTTTGAGATATTCCACCATAGAGAGAGTTGAGTACTGGAAGAAATATACTCCCTCTCCCCAAAAACAGGCAAAAATTTTTGAGCTTGCGGAAGTGGAGGGGTGTATGGGTGTTTGGATACACGGACCACAGCGTGAACAGGCACAGGGAGCAAGCAAGCAAGCTGACTAACCAGAAGGGACAATTCTAGATGGGTTAATATTGCTAGCCCTCTTTAATCGCCTAATCTGTCGATGGAGAGAGTGACTTTTCAAGACACTCATCTATTAGTTCAAAGAGGGCAAGGGCTGGTCAATTGGCTCAGTTGGTTAAGAGCTCGCTCAAGAGTGCGAGCTCTGAGCAACAGGGTCGCCGGTTCAATTCCCAGCCTGAGCTGAGCTGCCAACAGGTGGCAGGATGGTTTGGCTAAAAAAAAAGCAAGGATGGCAGAGGGCATAGTCTCTTCTCATCTTTCTCAACTGCCTTTTACTTCGCTCTAGGGTTTACAGTCATGGGGTGGGAAACCTAGCTGGGAGATGGATAGAGATGGGCCAGGCAGGAAAGGTCTTCTGTGTCATGCTAGGAGGTTAGACAATTGGGAACCAAGGCAAGTTTGTTTGTTTAAGCAGAGTGACACAGTCAGATTTGGGGAAGCATAGAAGATAAAACAGAAAAGGGAGACACTAGAAGTAGTGCATGCCTCTAATGCGGGGACTGCATAGTGTCAGGCCTCAGATGTTCATTTGAGAGGAGACTGGTGAAAGTATGGATAAAATAGAGAAAGTAAGCAATTTAATTGAAGTTAAAAATTAACCATTTTAAAGTGTACAATTCAGGAGCATTTAGTACATTCACAGTGCTGTGCAACCATCACCTCTATCTAGTTCCAAACGTTTTCATCACTCAAAAGGAAACCCCACACCCATTAAGCAGTCGGGCATCCTTCTCCCCTCTCCTCACCCGCTTAAAACCACTAACCTTTTTTCTGCCTCTACAGATTTACCTAGTCTGGATATTTCCTATAAATGTAATCATGCTTTCACTTACAATATTTTTGAGGTTCATCCATCTTGTAGCATGTATCAGTGAGAAAGAAAATTTCTAAGACTACAAAAGCAGAACAGCTGAACCTAAAGCACATGGCAGGCAACTGAGGGTGGGAAGCAACAGAAGTGAGGACAATGGCCAGTGCTAAAGCCTAGGTGATTAAAAGGACAGTGGCATCATCGATACAAATGGGAAAGACAAAAGAAGGTGCAGGTAGGGGTGTGATTGATAAGTCTGTCTCTGGACACACTGAGTTTGAAGTGCTAAGAGAGATCCATTTTGGAGAATTCACCAGGAAACTAAAAATACAGTCTGCAGCTTAAGACAGAAGCCCTAGCAGTGGCTACAGAGCTGAAGAGGCACGAAGATGAGCTGTCTTACTGTCCTCTGAGGCCGAGGGGTACATATACACCTGCAACTACTTCTATCACTTAGAGACACGCAAACGTACCAACTGTCCTTGCCTTTTTCAGAACGTGAGGCATCCATTTACAACAATGAACAATTACGAGCAGGATCAGGGGAGAGAAATATTATCCCCACCCTAGAGCAAAACTAATGGTGTATTCTGTTCTGGCTTTCATAAAAAGAACCCATTCATAGAAACGATAGCTGGCATTTTCCAATAAATAGCTCCACCACTTTTGAACCTTATCATTGGGTTCCATCATTCTCTGCTTCCAGCGTGGCCTATCAGTGTTTAATCCTCCACAGACTCCTGCCGGTTTTATGATTTGTTTAGAAATGTGGTGTAAATATGCAGTCCCACCAGTCTGACTGTAACTCTGGAGGTAAAATACTTATTGTGTCCCCATTGAGCCATCCCTCTCTGACTAATTTTCACCCACAAAGGAAGGAAGGGGCTGACCTCTCCACCTTCTCTCCTCACGTCCAGCCGAGCCAACATCACAGCTTTCTGAAGAGCCTTGCCTCACACTTGCCTGGCTTTGAATGGCAAGAGCAACAGTAATCATTTCTCCCCAAAGAGCTATTATCCATGACCTGATTCCAAGTTCTACACAAATCCACTTAAATGCATACAAAACAATTTTTGGTTGCTTAAAATATATGTATTTGTTTACTTAAGTGTATATAATTTATATCTTTATACACAAACATATAAAATTTATAAAATATACCTCTAAGTTGTTTTCTATACCTTCAAGGTCAGACTCAAACTGGAAATTTTGAGAAAAGAAACCATTATGACATACCTTCTAGTAAAGTCAGACCAAAAGAAAACGAGGGGAGTAAATTACTAGGAACAACAGTAAGTGCAGAGATAAGAGATCCACAATCAGAGGAGAAATTCCTCCAGTCCTGGGGTAAGTGCATGTGTAAGTTAAGGGGCAAGGGTAATTCAGAATGAAAGAATGTTCTCAGCATCTACCTCTTCCTCTGTGAAGCTCACAGAGTCCCCCAGGCAAGCTGTGGTCCCCACAGCTCCACATCCTCACCCTTCATTCTTCCCTCACCCAGCGATCCCCGATGATGCATATGTGCCAGGCACTGTTCTAGGCACAGAAACCCCACCATGAACTGGACAGACAAGACGCCCATCCAGTTCTAGAGGGGCTTTAGTGAAGGGGGGGGACTGATGAGAGACAAAGAAATAAAACACAACAGCATTTTCAGATAAATGGTGACAAAATACATGTAATTTACCCAAATCCATAATGTGTCCGATGAGAAGGCAGAAAAGGATGGCCAGGGTGAAGACAGGGACAACTCAATGTGTGAGCACTGAAGGGAGGGTGGCTGACGTCAGACGTCAGCAGAGCCCAGAAGATGAGGGAGTGAGTCACAAGTGGTGTAGGTCTCTGGAAAAAGAATGTTTCAAGGGGAGGACAAGCTCAAGGCTGGCATGGCTGTGAGGAGAGGGAGTGGGAGAGGAATCAGAGAGTTCACAGCACTGGATCCTTTGTTGTAATTTGTTTTATTATCTGTGTGCCAAATTGAATCATAAACACCTTGAGGTCAGGACCTGTGCTGCTATCCACATCTGCATGGTCCACCGCCTAGTACAGGGCCTGAATTAAGTTGGGTGGGTGGAGGGGTGGATGGATGGGGAATGACTGGGTGAATCAGGAAGCTTATCAAAAGGAAAAGTAAACTGCTAAATGAGGCCCTGAGCAAATAATGTGATGACTTTAACCATCATCATAAAGCCTTCACCAACAGTTTTTAATTTCATCAATATGCATGATATTCCCCAAGAAAATACTCAACTTTAATCTTACAATGGAAGTCAACAACAAAACAGGATTTGCATTACTGTATGCAAATGAGTATAGATAGATAGACAGATAGACAGACAGACATATATGTATGTTCATATATATTCATTTTCTAGACCACTTTGCTAGGACACATTCACTCCCTAAAATTAAAAAAAAAAACAAAAAAAACAACCAACCCTATATTTTAATCTTATGGGCTAAAAACTAGGTAATAGGTAGTATACATACATTGTCTGTTTACACAGCTTAAACAGACAACTGTAACATATTTTCCAACTCATTGGAAAAGAAGACTCTTGAGAAAAAAAGCTACCACTTAATGTTGTCTTCTAGTAATAATACACCCCACTTGGACACATAAAAAAATTAATGGCCAGCTCATCTGAATAGAAATTATTTTTTAAAAATTGCTTTAAACCAGGGTTCAACAAGCCTTTTCTTTTCGGTAAAGGACCAGATAAATATTTTAGTCTTTGGAAGCAACATACAGTCTTTGTCATGTAGTTTTCTTTGCTTTTTTAGGTTTATTTTTTGTGGTGGTGGTGGTTTTACAACGCTATAAAAAAAGTAAAAATCACTTTCAGTTCCCAGGCCATACACACAGGCCATAGTTTGCTAACTCCTGCTTTTAAACCATGATAAGAATAGGACACTAGGAGTCCCAAGTTCTTCACAATTAAACCTAAGGGAGAAATCCCCATAGGTTTCTGGATTACCTCTTTCAGTCTCTCCAGCTCATTTTGGAGCGCCTGTTTGGATATTTCTACTTCAATCATTTGTTGTCGGAGAGTTTCATTTTCATCTTCGGCTTTAGCACGCTTTTCCTCCACAGTTTCAAGTTCATGGTGTAATCTGACAGATACATCTTTGGCTACCTACAGAGACATCAGGATATGAAGGCAACATTCAAACAACTTACAAGACAGAATCATTAAGGGATATGGTATTACACCAAAGAGCAAAGACCTTAGCAATATTAGCAAACTTATTTTTTAAAAAAGAGAATATTAGTTTAAAACATGAAATCCACATTATTTCATGGGAGAATACGACTTTTATCTGAATTAAAAGGCCACCTTGGATAGCCCTACTTCCATATAGAATATCACCAAGACTGTTAGTTCTGCCCAGGTGCACGTGCTTTAAGTGATAAATCAGAAAAAAATAAAAATAAATAATAATAATACAAACATTTCTGTACCCTAAGGAAATACTAAACCTACCTGCTAAAAAACAAAATTAATTCTGTATGCAGTAGATGTTTACTGTGGTCAAGTTTTATATGGTCTGCTGTGATAAAATAGTTTAATGTTAAAAGCAGTTAAACATTTTTACTTTATCAAAGGAAATGAGAAAGAGATTTTGCAAGAGAAATATAAATCACTCTTATATCACATTGAATGACATTTTGTTAGTGGTTTATAAATTTGATAGAATTACAAAGATTCTTTTCCTGTTATCTAAAAGGTTTCATAAGTACTCCCATAATAAGGAAGATATTGTACATAATTCATCTCTAGATGAATGATTTGATAATCAGGGCATGAGAGAAGCCATGCTACCCACGGAGAGAGCAAATGGTTTAACATCTGGGATTTCTTCACCTGATTCCAACTTCTGCCAATGTTCTCAAAGACACTTGCGACAATTAGTTATGATCCTATTTCTCTCCTTCAGTTAAATCACCACTGCACAAGTCTCACTAGGGTTATGGTAATTTCAGGTTTTCTGTACCCTAGAAACTTAAAAAGCAATAAAAATATTAAGTGACTATGGTCAATTTTTAAGAGCGGTCTTTGACTATAAATGAATTAATAATCAGTATATTTTTTTTAAACTTTTTCAGATCTTTAGAAGGAGTTTCTGTACAGTTATGAGACCAACTGCCAGGTAGTAATTCTTTTTCATTATACATCTATTATGATGGTTTCTTTTCTTTTCTTTCTTATTTAAGTTTAAGGATTCTAGGTCATGTAACAGATTTTAATCTGAGGCCATCAAAGCCATATGACTACCCACACCCTATGAACTTTCGTTCATAAAGTAAACAACAATATTCATGCTGAAATGTATTGAGAGAGAAAAACACTAACAGAACATTAAGACCACAAGTAAGTGGGGCCCAGGATCTGTGATCCTGTCCACAGTGGCTCCTTCTGGGAATGCACGGCCCATCAGCCCTACTCATTCACCTTTAAGTCTTGTTCCAGACTTCGGATAAGCTCGCCATCCACTTGACCGGTCTCTGCAACTTTCAAGCTTTTCTGCTCGGCTTTCCTGAGGCGGTACTGCAGGATTCGGCAGTTTTTATTAGCACGGTCCAGTTCTCGCCGAAGCTCCTGCAGCTGGTAAACATCTTCCTCTAAATAACTGTCCCTCATCTCTTCCATTTCAGCACGAAGTTCATCCAACTCATCCTACACGAATCAGACAGAGTAGATTTATAAGCCAAGTATGTCAAAAAAGGATGGTGTTTTCCCTCTGTAATACTAAGTATTAACTATCTGCACATTTACCATCGGCTTATGGCCACACCTGTGTGATATGGCACAGGGACCTCTGGAAATTCTTCCATGAGAGCAAACCACCAGGTGTTTGCTCAAAACTTATGGATCTAGAAACTAAAATTCATCCTGGATTATTCACTGTGGCCTCTCACCATTTATTCCACTACCAGTATTTCCTTATGTAATCACAATTATAAATGAAATCAACTCTACAGATGATTAAACTTTTAGATTCCAACCAAAATTGACCCCATCTGTAAGGTACAAACCAGGTTCAAAGATGAGCCGGATAGACCCTGTCTTCAAAGCACATGAACTTTATTTAGTGGGATCATAAACTGTGAATTGACTTGAAAGTATAACTTTCCTGCCAATGTCCCTAAAATTCAGTTCCAAATACAAATTTCAGCACTGACTAGGTGACTCGCAATTCTAAAGATCAAACCTTGTGCATTATTTCAAATACACACTGGGTTTGCTTTTTTCAATTCACCTAACCTTTATTTTACTTTGCTGTCAACCGGATACAGGAAAACCCCAGGCATTGTCTGTTGTTCCCCTCCACCCCTTCCATTCCACAACCAATCCAGTGCTATCAGCTCAGCATCAAAATACCTATGGGTGCTCTCTTGCCAAGGACTACTACCTCCATTCCTCTCAAGGGGCAGCTGAACAAACAGGTTAAGTCCATCACATGGGACTACCTACTTCCCCTCTCAGCCGCCCCTCTTCCACAGTCCATTCTCTACCCAGAGTTATCCTTTTAATATGTAACTCACACCTCCTCCCATGCTCAAACCCTCCAGGGGCTTCCCATCACAACTAAAAATTCTTCAAAGCCCTCCCCAGGGCCTCTGACCTACCCCCTCATTCCCTGGTGACAAGGGGGAGAGGACTGCTCCAGGTCTTTCACCTCTTATGTCCTCTCCTTAAACACTCCTCCCAGCACTTTGCAGAGCTCCTGTCACATAGTAATTTGGAGGGCACACAATGCCTTCCCTGACCACCTTCCTCCCCCAACCCCACTGTTTCTCATCCCTTGCCCTGCTCCATTTTCTTCCCACCTCTCACTGCTGTCAATTTACCATCTGTGCCCACACTAAAAAATAAGCTACACAAGGGCAGACAGCCTGATTATCTCGCTCTTCTTTGTATTCACAGCACTCAGAGTGGTGTAAGCCACACAGCAGGCTCTCAATAAATATTTGTGGACTGAATATACAACAACAGTCAACATGTAGAAAGACAAAATCATAAAGTTGACCAAAATGAGACAAAACTGCACCTTTGCTTTGTTCCAGTCTTGTGGCCTAATCGTGAAAAATTCTTCCCAAGCCCCAAGACATAGCTGCAATAGGTGAGATATAAATTCTAATATTATAAAAGACCTTAACAAGGAGCAGTTTAGAAGGAGGGAGATTACGGAAGGCATTCTAGGAATTTTCTTGATTCATTTGATAACTGATAGCTTAAATGCCTCCAGAATAGGGCACACTCTGTCATCCCCATTGTTTTGTTCAAGTAATGTCAAGATTCATGAAAAAACTCTACCAAACTTCACCCTAAATTGTCAGCTCACATTCTGACATTCAGTTTGTTCCTGGATTCTCGCTCTTGCTAATCCTGCATTTGTTCTTATAACTGGGGATTTACTTACAATAAAGCTCAAGAGTTTCCCAATATCAGACCCTCAGGTAAAAAAGAAATTGAACAGAAAGAAACCTCCTGAAGAATATTTTATCCTGGATAAGATTAAGTACAAAAAGTGTAACAAATAAATTGGGAATCTTTATGGGAAAACACAGATTGGCACAAACAAGGTGAAGATGGTTCTCCAATACCTCAAGTGTATGCAGTAGTCTACTGGAAAGAACAAGATATGCCATCTCATTTCCCCAACCCCTAACCCACAGATTCTCCCCACTCTGTCCACACTACCCTTACCAAGAGAATGACCTCCTCAAGTGACCATGACTCCAAATGGAGCCTGTTTCAATGGTCTACCAAGGAGAACAAATGTTCAAGAAAGCTTTACCAACTTCCTAGGGGCCAAATGAATAAACTAGTTTTCTTTTTGGCTTCTAAGTGTTCTTACAGAATTTCTGTACCAGTGATGAAAACATCATTAAAGATATAAGATGTTCTAAGAAAGGTCTTAAAAAAGGTAAATCTTAACACTGAAAATGTTGTGAAGTATAAGCAAGTTTCATTTCTTTTCTTTTTTCCTTCATGGAGCCTTCTTCCCTATAAATCTTATTCCTAGCAGGAAAATTTGCTGGGACTGACAGTTACTAGAATGAGCATAAAAGCTGGTCAGTTGAATATATGTGAACAGAATGGACTGGCTGTGCTCTTCAGGGGACTGGAGAACTCAACTATTTCACGAAGGTCCTTGCCAACCTCTAAGAAAGACGAGGTTCTTGCTGATGCTGAATCCCCGCACTGAGGCTTGGACTGATGCCATGCGGGAGCTGTGCCTTTGACCCACCCCATGCTAGAGGAGACCAACTGCAGACCTCAAGCTTTAAACGGGCCTTGTGGGTGTCATTCTTTTGATAAAAACAGTAGCTTCATTTTTTTTAATTCTTTTTTTTTATTAGTTTCTGGTGCATAAAGCAATGTAATAGTTAAGACACTTACAAGAAGAAAAAAAAAACCAGTATCTTCAAAATCAAGATCAAGTTTCACCCAGGTTCCATCCAGGAATATGATGGATCCGACTTTGAGAAATACCCTAATCTCTCTACCCTTGTGTCTGAGTACAGTTAAAAGGCAATTGTGTCTTGTTATAACTATGTATGGTGCCAGGGGGATACTAGACTTACCAGAGGGATCACTTTGTAAAATATATAAATGTTTAACCACTATGCTATACACCTGAACCTAATATAAAATAATAATAAATGTAAACAAATTTTTTTAATAAATAAAATCATTTTGGAATTTTAAAAAGGTAATTGTGCCATTGGGTAGCTAATAAAAAATAGTTCAATACAAACAATAATCACTATATGTATACATATAAATATACAGTGACTGTGGCCATTCTGTTCATGGAAGAAATTGTTTGTGATTGCTCTTCGACCTAGAAAGCTTGTCCATAAAAGCCAAAGTCATCAATGCCTGGAATTATTTGCTTGTTACTCAAATCACAGTTTTGAAAATGCGATACAGCCATAAGAAGATATAAGGTCCAATGCCAGGCATAAAAAAATGTTCTCTAGTTTTCAGACTTTGTAATAGGAGGGCCATCACTGACCCTAATGTTAGATGCTGGATATGTTATATAGATGTGTAAACAACCACTGCAGGTTAAAATAAACTGTTTAAGGGCTACACCTCCAAATCACTGAGTAGGCCAGATATAACATTAATTGCAGTGAGGCAAAATTAAGGAGAGACCATAATTGCAAGTATCTGAATCATTGTTTTTGTAACTCATACTGTAACTAAATTTGTAGAACAGAAGACATCCTTTGTTAAGCACTTGACTGTCATTACTAACCCTATGACAAGCCTTCCAGGAACATTAACCCCATTGTATAGACAAGGAAATCAAACCAACAAGTTAACATGTCCAAAGTCCCTGCTAAGAAATGGAAGCTAGACTGTAAACCCAGGTTATCTGGTTCCAAACAAATGCTCTTCCAAAAAACACTATAAATTATTTGCAACAACCAGGACATAGGAAACAATAATAAGTCTTAAACTGTACTTTTAAAAGCTACCTATCTGTGTAAAATAGTAAAAGCAGGCTAACATTTAGAGCTTGACAATTGTCAATGTGCAAGTATGTCCATTATCACAACTGGGCCCCAGAAAAATATTACAATGTGCAGAAAAGATATTAATACCCCTTTTAAAAATGAGGAAATTGAGATTCTAAAAGTTTAAATGGCTTCCCAACACTAGTCTTTTTCAGAGATGGGACGAAACCAGTGTTTCAATTCTTTTCATAGAGCCTCGAAAAAAGCAATTTTCATGTACAGTGAAAAGAAGTTACAAGAAAAACAAATTATAAATATTGTAAGCTGGCAGCAGACATTTGAAAAGCAAAAACTGTGATTATTCAGATTAGGGTCATGATGGTTAGTGATTTTCAAACTAACATTGTATTAATTTTCTGACAGCATGCTCTAACTTAGAAAACATTGTATTAAAGAACCGTAAAGATGTCGGCCATTTAAATGTTTAAGAAAACCAAATCAAGCAGAACAAAAAGTTTCTGGCAGATACAGTTTAGACGTAGTAGTAAAACTGAAAATTTGCTGTTATTTTTTTTCTACACAGAAATTAATAAGAAAATAAATGCCCTTAACAGCTTTATACTGAATTAACATCAGGTCTATCAGACATTTAAATGTTAAATCATTACCTCATTGAAAAGCTAATCAATTTTAATTAAATATATTTATCAAATTTTGTTATGTGAAAGGAAATCTTGAAGTAGTATGAATCTCTTCAACTATTCCCCTTCACCTGCAGATAACAAATTGAACCTTATTTTATAAGGTTCCCCCTTTGCCTGCAGATAATGAATATATATAAAATTAGAGGAATAATGAGGTACCATGTGTATACTAGAGTAAACCAAGATTAAAATGAAATGTTTCAATGAAACTTCTATGAAGATAATTTTAGCCACAAATGCAAAATAAAAACCATATCCATGGTTTCCTAGTATAACTGATGAAAATTCTTGATCATACTGATAATTTTATTCAAGTCTTGATCTCCTTTCAACAACCCAAAATCAATAACTAGTTCTATTTTAATAACCTCTCTTCAAATAGACCCAATTTGGACAGTAGGAGTCATCTGGCTACTGTTGTAATAATTCCATCTTCTGGGAGTTGTAGAAAGAAACTATTGTCTGCTGTAATATACAAATAATCCACTTCATTTCCCTCCGGACAATGGAAATGTTCTCTGCAGAGCCCCAGCTGTAGCTAAGAAGGTGCAGGGGCTGCTAACCATTGTTTACCAAGTGACAGTTCACCCAGCAGCTGATGGGCTATTTGCCCTGTTCTACATTATCTTGCCACCTGATTATTACAGCCGCTCTTTCACAGGCTGAATAAAGAATGGATGTAGAAAGTGCAGTGTCAGGAAAGGACAAGAATGCTGTCCATTTAACCCTTCTAAAAGAAAGGGAGAAAGAGGAGAGGAGGAGGAGCTGAAGCACTTCAGAACTGCTTGGTCTTACCGCACAGTGCCCCCCCTCTCTCTGGGCCACATTCAGTGCCTGGAATCCAGGCAGCCAAATTTAACAAAAACATATCAGAGCTTGAAACTCAAGAGATGACCTCAAGTGAGGAACAGGATGATAAGGTTGGTTTAGTGGTGATGCACTGCATTTTACAAAACCATAAAGACCTTCCCAACGATCTCCATTAGGAAATCACTCCTCTCGAAGAATCCAATGTTATCTGCCCTTGTAGCTAGCACTGACTTCTTTTGTTTTAACCAAAAATGATTCTTATGAAACAACTGAGAAAGCAGAGCAAAAAAAAATTTTTTAAAGCAGCAGCCCTTCACTACACCAACCCTCACGGATCCTACAAGACATCAGCCCTTAGGAGTATACCATTTGGGAGCAAGGTGTGGGGGTGTTGTAAGTACATCACCAGTAATGTGAAAAGCCTTTGCAAAACAGGCCAATAAACTCAATGTGATTAGATCCTCCTGAAAAGCCTGTGGAAACAGAGAATATAATTAATATGTTGTTCACAATGAGCACTAAGGCTTATCTGACTGTCTCAGAACACTTGAGCAAAACACAGTGGTGGCAAGCAGGAAACATACCAGCCACATTTTGTGGAAGTCCTCATCATTAAGAAACGTGCCTGGGTTTGGTGTGAGAAAAAAGCAAAGGACTTTAGGTAACTGAACTTAACTGTTCACCTTAATTTCAGAATACTTCCAAATATATTCAAGTTCATCCGAGGTAAAGGGAAAACAAGAGTGCTTTTCTAACTGTGTTTATGCAAAATGCCCACTACCTGGATTGAGGAATTTTTGCATTTTTCATTGAGTCACCTTGGTGCCCTTTAATGAAGGTAGAGAAGGAATAGAAAGCAGGGCCAGGGATGGCCCCATACTGCACAATAGAAAGCATACTTCTCTGTTGACATTCACTATTTTTAAAAAAATACAGCAGTAAGTCTGGCTAAAAACCAGGAGAATTCTATTTGAATTTCCTGATCAATAAGACATCCTCCTATGGTTTTGCAGGCCTTATTTTTCTGCTTGATTACCCCTTGGTCATTCTACCTTAGAAGGTATAACAGTCTTGTACAGTAATGAAGACAAAACTGACTCAGGAAAGAAGTTATACTAAATGTGGTCACAATCCACCAGAATGTATCAAAGTAAAATTTCTGGGCTCAGTCTCTTTTTCTTGGGTAACATTTGAACAGAGGGATGCTCTAACCAATTGCCAGAATACTGTGCAATATTCCCTAAGAAAGCAGGAGGTCAAGACTGCACTTTCACCTACCATGTAAAAAAGTACCACTGAGCAAAAAGAGCAATAAAAAGAGAAGTTCTGACTCATAATGTGCATGTTCTAAACACCACATGTGAAGGCGTGCCTACAGCCTCTACCCCATGAGGTCATCGATGCTCCCCACCAATTTTGCACAAGTGGGTGCGGGCTCAGCGACCTTTAGAAAAGTCTACCAGAATTGTTGTGTTTCTTTCCCAAACTGAATATTGTCGTTTAAGCTTCTGAATGACCAAACACATAACTCACACATATATTTGTGATCATACATTTGTGATCGTTCTTATGGTCTCCTTCAGGCCTCATCTACTCACTTCTCTCTCCTACTGTCAGAGGAATGGCTGGGAGATGGCCTCAGAAATAGTAAACAGGTGGCCGTGACACTTGCTCCACAGGAAATGGCAACTGAATATTTCCCACAAATTAAATATTGCCAGTGAGACTTATATAGCTATTTATACACAGGCTAGTAGAGAGATGTTCATTATGGCCCTTTCACCTAAAAAGAAAACAGGCCTCCTAGGAAAGTTAAAAAAATTGGGAACATTTTGAGCTAATACAACTCTAAGGCAAGCAGCATACTCTTAGAAAAGCAGCCTTGCTGGAAAGAAGATGTAGTCTGGTGCAGTGAAAAGAACAAAGGCTCTGGAGGCAGGGAAAATGGAAGTTGCACCACTTATAAGCTGTATAACCTTGGACAAGTCATTTACGTTTTCTGGGTCTCAGCATCCTTGTCTGTGAAATTGGGGTTATGATAAATACTGGGTCATCGGGAAAGTCATGACGTATTTTTCTATGTTTTTCAATGCAAAAATGCATCATGACTTTCCCGACGACCCAATGTAACAACAATCATACTCTATTTGTTGTGAAGATTCACTGAAATATCAAATTAACCAGATCAGATTCCAGGGTCAGGCACCTATTTCATGCACTGAGAAACTAACAACATGAAGAGATAAAGCAAATAACCAGTTACCCGGGAATGAACCCTGAAATGATGTTGGACTGCCTACCTTAAGATAAAAAATGTAATAAGAAACATCTTTTCTCAAAAAAAAATTTTCCTTCTTCCTTAGCAGTCACAATTTGGATCAACATCAATCAGAAACACTGGGTTGGTGATTATGCTAACAGCTGGGGCTACAAAACTGAACAAGATTATCTTTCTCACCCTCAGGGAGTTTACATTTGTTGAAGATTTACCACAGTGCTGCTTTTAGATAGAGTCCCACACAATATAGTGTCCTTTCTCTTCAACACCTTTGAATTTACTTTGTTGTCTATTATTAAATGATAGTGATATACTATATATGAAATAGTAAATCTACTAAATAGTAAATATACTATTTGAAACATCTCACTCCAAGTTCCAATCTACTCTCTTTTTTCACGTTTCTCCTTCTCTGCCCCACTGTTACATTTTTACACAAGATAAAATATCTACTGGGCTCAGTTGGTCAGAGTAGCTCCTGATAAAAGGTTTAGGAAACACTCAGCAGTTAACTGATTCCAGTTTAAACTGCGCACTTCACCACCATTCACCATTAAAGCTCACACCCTTGGTCCCATCCACCAGAAACTGGGCCTCAATCACGTAAGTTCAGCATTTGCTGAGAAAACAGTACAAATCATAACCCACTGATAAAGGAGGGCCACCCCAGTGGTTTGGGAGAATATATGGTCTTAATAGAAACATGAATAGGTTTATATAACTGAAGCTATTTACTAACCTGAGGATTACAATAAATTAAAACGGTTGCCCTCAGTATAATCCCTCGTATTTTCTCTCAGGTCACCTTGATTGTCTTGGCTACCACAACATCATCTAAACCCTCTATTTTGCAGCGCCAGCCTCCTACTCCGAGAAAAGATGCAATCACATTGGGTGCCCCAAAGCTAACAAGACCCAGAGGCCATGACTCGCAGGCCCTGCGGGAAAAGACTCAAGATAGGGTGGCAGAGGTTGCGATTCCCTCGAAAGTGCTGGCTGGCGCGTGGAGGCCATCAAGTGGCCTGTCCTGACGAGGAAAGCATAAACGGCTCATGAACGCTTTACAGAGGCCTGAGGAGCAAGACACTGTTGTACCTGAACTAAACCTAGGCCACACTCAAAGGACCCCTGAACTTACGGTTTATCCTGGAAAGCTGCCTGTGCTTTCTGAACCCCGGAAGGAGACACAGAGCGCCTGGCTTTCTGTAATTGCAGAAGCAGCAGGCTGGTGGGCACCGGAGGTAACACACCTCCGCAAGGAGCCAGGACCAGACCTTCCTGGCTGAGGATGACCCGCTCCCACAGGTGAGGGTGGGTGGGCACGTATGGGAAGTGGGGGATCGACTGTGTACCCAAAATGTGATTATAGCCACCTCTCCCCCAGCACATCGACAGGGGCAAAGGCATCAGGCGAGAGAAGCAAAACTTCTAGAAACAAGAAAAGCTAAGTGGGTTGATTAGCTGCCCGGACCCACAGGTCTTGCTGCTCCTTCCATAAGTTTTAGCTTAAGTTTCCAATGACCACTATGTTCCGGAACAGGAAAATGAAAGGCAGAAGGGAGAAAGCACTTGTCAGGGCCGGGAAGGCGGGGCTCGCGGGTCCCTGCCCGCACCCAGCCCCTGGAGTGTCGCCTCCGGACACCCTGGGCAGCCCGCTGCTCACCTTGAGATAGTCATTCTCCGAGCGCAGCTCTTCCATCTCCCGCAGCAGCTCCTCTTCCTCCACCGCCGGGACCAGCCGGGGCTGCTCCCCCGGGCCCGGTTCCTTGGGAGTCCCGGGGACCGCTCGCTCTGAGGGCGCGCGCCACGCGGCATCCTCTGCCCCGCCCGGGCTGTTCCGACCCCCGAGGAAGGCTCCAGCGGCGGGGGACGCGGCGAGGAGTGTTGGGTGCTCTGGGCTGCCTGGCGGCACCCCTCGAGCTGCAGGGCTTGTCGCGGGGGCTCCTCGCAGAGGTTCCCGGTCGCTGGAGCCCGTGCCTGACTCGGCGTCGCTGCTCGCAGCGGGGAGCAGGCGCTGCTCGTCTGACAGGGGCTCGGAGGGGCAGTCCGAGAGGTCCGAGCTGCTGTCCGTCCGGCTGATGCGCGAGCCAGGGGCAGGGAGGCTGGCCGCGGAGGGCATGGCGTGGATCAACGTCGGGACCGGGACGGCGAGGGTCGGGGGACCCGCGGGGCGGGCTGCGGTCGCCCCGGAGCCTCGTTTGGCTTTGCGGCCCTTGGCTGCAACGGGCGGCGGCTCGGCCCCGAGCAGAGGCGTTGGCTTCCCAGCCCGGGGCAGCGGCTCGGTGGGCCCCGCGCGCACTGCCCTCCTGGGGCCCGGAGCGGCCTTGGCACTGACAGCTGCTCTGGCCCCGGAGCCCGGCGGCGGCTTGTCTTTCGCGCCAGGGGTACCGCCGCTGCGCCGGGAGAGGCGGCCGGGCGCGGCCAGGGGCGCCGGCAAGGGCGGCGTCTTGCCCGCGAGGCTGGGCGAACGCGGGGCGGCGGGCGCTGGGGATCCGCCGGAGGAGGTGGCGGCCGGGGCTGGGCTGGGCGCCGCAGGCCGGCCATGCAGGTCCTTGAGGAATGGTCTGGCGGGCGATGGTGCACGGTGCAGCCGCCTCCTCTCTGCCAGCGGGTGAAGGTGGTGGCGGTAGTGTTGTCTGGGAAGCTGCGGTTTCGTGACCGGGGCGCCACCGCCCGCGGGACCATTCAGCGTCTCCATTGCCGCGGCCGGGACCGTGAGCAGCAGTTTGGGTGGCAGACGCTCCGGGTAGCGGCGGCAGCGTGCAACCACTCCGCGCGCTTGCTCATCACTGTCCCCCAATCCCGCCGAGTCTGCGCCCCGCGCTCCTGCGTTCCCGCGCTGCACCCCCCCCCGCACCCCTGACCCCGAGAATCCCGCGGGGCTCGCTGTCGCTGCCGCCTCGGTCTCCCCTTGCTGAGGTCACTGCTGCCGGAATTCTCCCGGCACAGCAGCGCGGCAGCTCCCTACCGCACGCATCCCTGGACGCTGCGCTCCAATTGGAGCTCGTGGGTGCGCTGCCGCGGTCTCGCGCACCCGCACTCGTCCCACAGCAGCGCTAGAGGCGCGCTCCCAGCTCCCGAGTCCTGCTCCCCGCCCACTGCCGGCCGCTCTCAGCAGCGCCTGCCCGATCCGGCCAGCGACGGCTCCCGGCGGAGAGAACTGCGCGCGCGTTTCCCCGCCTCCCGGCGCCCTGCGTCTGGTCGCCGGGTGCGCATGTCTCGCCTGCTGCCAGCCGGCGCTGGTGGTGGGGGAGGGAGGGCAGGCGGGCGGGGCCTCGCTCCCCCAGGCTCGCTCGCGGGCTGCGTCCCCCAGCCCTCACCGGCTTGGGACCCTCCTTGCTTTTTGAGTGCCCAGAGACAGTACCAGGTGCTGGGAAGGGAGGGCAGTAGGAGAGGTGAAGTGGGGGGCGGGGGAGGGGCGGGCACTGGCCTCTTGGGGAAGACTGGAGATCCGGGAGTCGTGGGTGGGCCTCCCTGTAGTGTGTACCTTAGGGAGCCTCTTTCCCTCGTTTGACCACCAGGGGCCCCGTAATCCAACCCCTGACCCTTAGTTCCCTCCACTGGTGTTCTCTCAACGTTGTGCTGGTAGTTCCTTCACACGTCATTAAGGATTGCTGGTACCTTATGCAGCTATAGCGTCAAAACAGACACACTGCTCCACAGTTGGCACGCTCGGTGGCCTCCGGAGCTCAGAGAAGGTGGAGCTGCTGTAGAAATGGGAGAAGCAGCTCGCCAAGCTTGGGGTCAGAAAGGGAACTCAGATTTATAGTGCCGGCTGCAAGCCAGGCACTGTTAGACACTTCATAGGCATTGCTTTATTTCATCCTCATAACAAGCACGAATTGGAATTATGTCTTCTCTAAGGATGAGAACACAGGTGCAGGGAGGTGCAGTTGGTGTCTTAGCCAGTACTTGACTGAGTCAAGATTCACACCCACGTCTGTAGAATTCTCAGTCCTACATGCCATCCCCTCAGAGAACCGGGAGTTTGAGTACCGTGTCTGCCACTTGAGAGTCTAACGTGGGCCACTGACCTCTTTGGGCCTCAGTTCCCTCGCCTGTATGATTAGAAAATGCTGCTGCCTGAATGTTTGTGGGATTAACTGAGCAAACACGAGATAACACTGTGTAAACTGTAAAGTACTTTACAAATACCGTTGAGCACAGTTTTAGTCCTAGGCATAGGATGTTGGGTAATACACAAATGAATAAGGCCCAGCTTGTTGTCTAGACCAGGGAGGCAAAGGGGCAAGCAGGGGCTGTACATGAGATAACACAGGAGGGTGGGTGGGACCACATTTTTTTGCAACAGAGTTTGGGTATTTTCACAGCAGGGGGTGGGGGTGGGGGAAGAGGATCCTGAGCATGACTGATCCTATTTACTTAGAAAGATTCCATGGGCCGGCAGCAGCAAGGATAGGGAAGCCGATGAGGGGAGGAGTTACTGGCTGTGGCAGTAAGCACAGATGAGGAGCTGGGGTAGAGAAAAGGGGACAAACGTGTGAAAATAAAAGGAAAAAAAGACTTCAAAATCTGTGATCTTCACAACTAAGTACCCTACTTCGCCACCTCCTTCAAAAAACACATGATAAAATGATTTTTTAAAAACCTCCTGTAAGTCAGGAGAGCCATACTCCCAGAAGATATCCGGTCTGCTTTCTCCTCAAATCCCCAAGGAGATGCCAGCCACGGTCCTGTGACTGAGCTCTGAGGACACTGAAACTTCGGTACTCTGCTGCTGACTTACGTTTTTTGTGAGTGGTTAATCTGGCAATTCCTGTCCTTGTATGACAGCACACACAAAACATAATCTGTACTGACTCTTCTTTGACGCAAGATCTAATAAGACCACAGCCATATTTCAGGGAGATTTTGGAGAAGACCCGGGTGATGACAAACAACACTGCAGAAAAGCCTTAAAGGTGCCCAGCCACCACGCCTGTCGTAACCAGCTCTCCCCTAGAGGGCGCTCGAACTCTCCCCTTCAGTCGACTGCCAATTAATCAGAACGTGATAGCTGTCAGTTCCCAGAGCACAACTGACCGGGAACTCAGGCTCCAGAACCTTCACCTAGAAATTCCTCCAGAGACCCAGAAGTCTCGAACACCCTCACATTTCTGAAGAATTATGTCCAGGACTCTTAGCACAAGCTTGCCAGCTCATCAGACCGTATGTAATCGTACAAAAGGCCATCTTAAAAATGTTTCCCTAAGTTTGTCTTCCAAAATATATGAGCCAAATGATCACGCTATTTATAGCCAGCTTCTCTTTCCCTTGGGTAATAAGTCAAACAAAATTTGTACTCCTAATTACCCTGGCAATTGTTTCTGCTGGTCCTTGGCAAGGAGGTGTTCAATAATTTTTCCTTGTTTTCCAATATTCGGTGAGTTATAGGTAGTATAAAAAAGATACCTACTTGTTTTCAAAGTCACATGTGACTTAAAAATTTTTGTTGTTGAATCAAGTTAGTCTAAAGGCATTATGGGGTTTACTATTTAAAGGAATCTTAAAATATTTTATTCTGGGAAAAAAAACAACAAAATCCAGTGTGGATGTGCCTGTTTGGGTTTGTCTGCCCTCAGACCTAGTCATTGCCCTTCCTGGACTCCGCTCTGTAGAGAGGGGAACAACCCATAAAGGTTGGTTTTTCAGGTTCCTGGGTGTGCTGATTGGGTTGAGCCAGTGGGAGGCGCTGTCAGGAGATTGGAGTGTGTAACAGCAAAGGAGAAACCAGGGTATTTCTTATCTTCTCTCTTTGTCCCAAGTGGCCACTTCAGAGTAGCTGGGTCTCCTTTATGGACTGGCTTATTGGGGTTCCAGCTTTCACTGAATGACCTACTCCCTCTGATAACTTCTCCTCTTGTTGCCTCTCAGTCAAGGGTGGTAAGTGGCTTCCTGTGGTTGCAGATCTCTGGGTTACTTTACCATCCCCTTTGCCTCTTGACTCCTCCCCAACCTCTGTAACCAGTTCCATTCATTTTAAGCCCTGTGTTGTTCCAATTTTATCATTCTTCTGCAGAAGCCTAAGTACAGGCCCAGGGACTGTATGCGGTAGCATTGGTTTAAGAAGTAATTTGCTATGACTTACATCCCTGACTTCCTTGTCAAAGAGCAGTGTGGTATGGTTACAAGAAGTGCTGAGGCTTTGACACCAAGTAAATATGGGTTCAAATCCTGCCTGAGTCACTTGTATTCTCTGTGGCCTTGGATAAGGTACTATTTTCAATATCATCATTATTATTTAATATCAATGGAATAATCTTCAATACTCTTTAAAATGTGAACAAACCAAAATTGGAGGGAAAGTTAGAAATCTAGTCTGTGTCTATACATTTATGTAAAGAGAAATCAATTTCTTTTTACTTGGTTCGATTCATAGAGGAAAAAAATATGATTTAGGACTACACTTCCCTTACTGCTCTGTACTCACAGGCAGAATTTCTACAACCTCAAAACCTTGTCCAAACCTAGGCATATAGCTATTTTCCAGTTTTTTTTCCTTAATATGAAAGCACATTTAGCATATAAAATCATTTCTGGTTTAAGTCATAAGAAAGCATTTTCTTTGAAAAGAGTGGAAAGGAGGTTTTTGGTTTTTGTAAGAGAGTGGGTGATTATTTTGGTGCTTCAGGAAAGTTAGGTGTTTAAAAGAGACAACCTGAAGTCACGTGGCCCTCTGGGATTGAAGCTGATGCATCTCGCCCTGGGGGTGGGTAGGTGCCTTCCAGCTCCTCTGGCAGGGTAACTGTCAAAATGCCACATGGGACCTGAAGCAGGCCAGCCCTACAAGGACCCACTGACCCCTCCTCATACCCGGATTGGGAGCTGTAAGAGGTGGTGATGGTGGTGGTGGTGACTTCAGAGGCTCTTAAACCTGAGTACATTAAAATCACCTGGTGAAGTTGGTAGAAATGCAGAGTCTATGGCCACATCTTTACGTACAAAATAAGAGTAGGTTTATATGGAAAGCAAAAGTAGAGCAGTGGATTTATAGAAGGTTCCATAGTGCCTACAAAATAAGTTTCCTGATTCATTCAGGAGATAGGACACTGAATAAGATCACACGTAAAAATACATTTTAGGGCCGGCCGAGTGGCGTGATGGTTAAGAACTGGTTTGGGACGCCAGAGGCCCCCAGTTCGGATCCCACATATGAGGGCCAGTGACACTGCCCTCCGCAGCTAAGATGCTGAACAACAGCTCAACCTGGAGCTGGGCTGCCGTGAGTCGCCGGCCACGGCATAGGCTGCAGCCTCTGTGGCAGTGAGTTGCCATGGGCTACCGTGTGTAGCCAGCAGCCAGCGTGAGCAGCCAGCAGCCAGAGTGAGCGGCCGTCCAGAAGCCGGCGACTGATCTGCCTCACCCAGGAAGAGCGCAATGATGGTGCCAACTTGGGCCAGTGAAGCAACGTCCTCCACAACTAGACTGAAGAACAACAAAAAAAAAGACAGCAACTTGTCTGTTCCCCTTCCTCCAATTCCCCAGCGCTGTTCCCATCCCCCCAACCCCCCAATAAAAATCTTTTTAAAAAAATACATTTAATTATTATTTCTATGTAAAATTATTGTCAAGAGAATTTTACCGTTGAGAAGCTAGAACAATGTTGGTTCTATGCCTGATCACAATAATTATTCACTTACCTTGGACAAAATAGTTCAGTCTTTCTGGACCTTCGAGGCCTCATCTGTAAAATCAGGGAGTTGAACTTAAATAAGCTTTAATGTATGTCCCAGCTTAATGAATCTGAGGGTTGGGGTGAACTTGTGCCATTTTAATTATCAACATGGGATTATTCATAGTAAATTGTAGGCCATCTTTGTTCATTCTCTAACAAAAAATACTCATATAATATAAATGAATGTTAATAGAAGAATAGTGTAATTAAGAAGGTTAATATGATGGAATAAATGTGACAAATGTTATACATATTCTGATTACCATATAGGGGCAGACTCTTGAGAGTCAATCATGTTTTTAAGTGGCCCTCAGTATTACTGCTTAGAATAAGTCCATTTCCTATTTGCCTCTTTAAATATTGCCTACAGGGTCTAAGAATTTGAGAGCAGAAAGAGGCCTTAAGAAAGCATTTGCAGTCCTCTCATTTGTCACCCCTTATTTAAGAACCCACATGACTG